GCGCGTTACAACCGAGCCGTTCGAAGTACCCGTGGGGTGACGAGCGTGCGGCTGGCCCAAGGAGCACGTAGCTCCCACAACACTGTCAGCTTAGGGCTGAACGTGGTGGACAAAGCAACTTTTTCCGAGTTTTGAGGGACGGGCTTGCACATGACGTCACTTCCGATGCCCTCCAGAGAAAAGGGGAAGAAGGAGCTCCCCTCTTATCAGGATCCTCCTTTGTGCCTCCCGGATTTGTACAGGCGTCGCTATTCTCCCCCCAGAAGATTATAGGAGATTAATCTGTCAACCAAAATTCTTACAAAAGCAGCTTCCCTCTCCTCCTTTTACTTGGTGTTCAAAAGTATGCGATGTGACGTCAATGCAAGGAGCCTAGAGGGAGAATGGCTGTTTCCGGTTGCACGAACGAGGGTCCGAGAAAGAGGGAAGTCCTTCCTTTCCACCTTCTTGGACCATTCGGTGAAATGCGCGATTTGTGGGCTCAGGAAGAAGGCTAAGAATTGAAACGTTGAAATGTCAAAGAGTGGCGCTGCTCCGAAGGAATCTGCTACGTCTCGACTACGTAGCAGATTCCACAACGTTGCTAGACTACCTCCCAAATAGGCTCCGCATGCAGCCAACAGGTGCACACTGAAAGTCGTTTATTTAGCTTTAAAATTAGTTTTTTTTTTCTCCTTTTCAACGGAAGACTGGTGTTTTTGAGGTTAGGGTGCAACATGCAACACATTAAAGCTAGGAAATGAGCGCTGAAATTTCGTTTCCCTACCCCTTTAAGGACGACCTCAAGAAGTACGTCGAGAATGACGTCATAGAGGTGGACGTTAAAGACTACGTCTAAAACGACTTCTAGGACGACCTCGAGGGCGACCTCAAGGACGACGTCAAAGACGACGTCTAGGACGACATCTAGAACGACCTCTAGCGCGATCTACAGGACGACCTCAAGGACGGCGTCAATGTCGACGTCCAGGACAAACTCTAGGATGACGTCAAGGTCGTCAGGTCCTTCGAAGAGGGTCCAAATGTGAAGGAGTGTGCGTGCAGAATATTTTTCATGCCTTTCGTGTGGACAGGTTTTCGCTCAAGGACTTTCAAGGTCGACTGAACGATGAAACATATAAGGCTTTCGCCTTGATAAAAACACTCCAAGTCCGATCCTTACACGACGACAGCGAAATTGACGCACAACGACTGAATCACGAAGAGGAACGTAAATTGCATCCATGACAGACCCCAATACTCCCTAAAGAGCGCTGCCCTGTCCCCGAACAGAACACTTCGCGGTCACGTACGATGACAGATGCCCCCCTCCCTTTCCCCTTCTCTTCTTGGCGTTCCTTACTAGTCTAAGATGCTGACATTTTCCGGTGAAAACCGAATTTCTAAAAGTTAATTCGGCATACTTTTATCGGTGTTTATTGGTCAAAACGGAAAACGCCGAGCCCTACATATAAATAAACATCTGTGGATAAAATTGTATTAAGAGGCTAGGTAAACCGACGCCCTCGTGCCGAGAGACGCCGGAGCACGTGCACTTTGCAAATACACAAAAAACAATGATCGGGCGACAGGCGGTGAAATGACCAAGGTTTCATCAGTCCACACAAGGACCGGCTTGCTCCGCACCAGCGGATATGAAGGCACAGGCGGCGGAGATGACGAGCCGACAGCGCACGGCGCAGACAGGCACAAGGTCGGGGCAAGCGCAGGAGTCCAAAACTCCAAGCCCGACCGTGGCCGGGGATTGTGTGTGCGTGTTTGGGTGGGGGAGGGGGGGGGGAGGAAGTGGGTTAAGAGCACGTCTGCGCGTCTGGCGCGTTACAGCAAGGCTGTGTTCCTAAATCTTACTCGAGCAGATCCGAATTACTTCGGCGGTTCATGTCACGCATGTCAAGCGACCACACCCCTAGAACAACCTAAAACGCCGAGTCAAATCAACTACGTTTGGAATGCGGCCCACCACTACTCAAGGCAGCCCAGTCTGTATCAGTGGGTCCGTGGTTTATGAGCCTCTGTTCGACGCGCGCGCCCTGCGCAGGGAAGCAATCTGTCGGTGTTGCGTTGCCGCCTCAGGCACGTTGATATTTTTATTTAAACGGAGAAGTTCGGTTGATTGAGCTTCTGTTCTTAATTTAATTCAGGCTTCTTTCTATTCATGACGTGCGATGCTCATATGAGAATAAAACACCATGGCATACCTGCCAACCTGTGGACTTTCAAATTCGTAAAAGTCGCGCGGCTGCGGAGAAGAGGGGGGGGGGGGGGGGGGGGGGGGGGTACGCGAAGCGATGTGCCTGGCCAGCGTGTGAAACGCTTACATCACACGTGCCCGTGGTACACAATCCAAACTTCTCTCGCTTTTTGGGCGGCACGAAGCACGGAAATTTCGACGTGTAGGACTTCAGGAACACCTGAAAGTACCTCTTTTGAGGTTTCGAGTTCGGCATTGCGCCGCGAAGCCACAGTGACCAGGAGAATGCTACAGTTACACGTGCAACAAACACAGACGCCATACTTCTCGCCTCAAACTGGCCGAAACAACGAGGCCCAACAACGTCTGAACACGCCGAACCAACGTGCACCTGTGCACCGCCGAACACACGAACAAAGGCTTTGAGCCTTTGAGCTTTGGATTGGTTTTCGATCCGTGGTCACCGGATAGACGGATAGTAAAAACCACGACGCAGCTGTGGGCGGTACCTATCGCCCTCTTGTGGCAGTGCAAGATACCGCCAACAACAGTTACAAAAAAAAAAAAAAAAAAAATATATATATATATATATATATATATATATATATATATATATATATATATATATATATATATATATATATATATATATATTTATTTCGTAAGATTTGAAGCAAGATTCGTAAAATCGTAAAATTAGTCCTAATTCGTATATTTTACGAAAAATTCGGAAGAGTTGGCAGGTATGCCATGGCCTTCGGCACTGATCTTTAGGGCCATAAGCTCCATGAGCAGACGACAGTGTCTCATTTGATCTCCGCTAGATGGAAGCAGGAGCGGCGAGAGTACTGCTGGCGGCGCGCGCGTGCGCAAATATAAGACCTTTTGAGCCTTCGTCGCGTGGGCGCTGCCATCTTGGAATGACGTGACGCGGCCGCCATAAGGTCGCTTCAACTCGTCGCTCCGCTATCCCTTAGCTCCGCGCCTTGGCGAAAGCGTTGCGCTCGCGTTTTTCGTCGCGTTTCACTGCGTCTTTCGCATTATTGTAAATCACCGCCCGATCATGCCATCATTATGTGCCCGACGACATCTGCAGTTAATTCTGTAACATATTTTGACTATTTTCACCGTCGGCGTACCGGATACGTGTGAAAACAGAGGAGGTACCGGAATCAGCGTCAGCGCTGGCGCATATTGAGCCCAATTATTTATGACAACTGAAGTTTGCTCAGTGATAGTGGCGCAATATCCTAAATATGTGAAGTACACTGTATATGCATAGCCACACTTTTCGGATTTGAGGAATGTGACCAAAATACTCAGTATATGAAGCTATGTGTGTTTCCTGAAACCCTGCGGCCTTGTCTTCGTAACAAATTTAAAACGGTTGTTTTTGATTATATAGCATATATACGATATACATGTTTCGAACGTTTAATTCACATTTTATCTGATGCTCGCGATAACCGTGAAGTCCACATCAGGCGTTTCCTTTGTTCACGGCATGACACGTAAATTTGTTAGACGTTCTTAATTATTTTTGCATTATAAACGTTTGCTTGATTTGTTTATTTTTGAAGTTAAAGAAACTGTACACTTCAGTCTGTCCCATGTTTGCAGTAATTAAAGGGTGCTAAGAATTTTAATACGAGGTTTAATTTGTTTATTTAAGTTATTTCAACACAAAAAAACCTGTGGGAAAAAATCTGTCACAGGCAGCTTGAAAGTGCCAAGGGCTCGCAATATGTGATGCCGAAAAGAATCCATCTAAATGGAAATCGCCCGAGTTCAGCATTATTGATCCTAGGTTGCATCAGTTTGAATAGAGACCTGTCTAGACAGGTTCATGAAGATATGCCTAGAATTCGATTTTAGCCAAACGTGCATAAGATCACCACTCCCAGGCCCTTTAATTTTATTTGGCAAAGTTTATACAAAGACAAATTTTCAGACTTCAATTGATGGGCCTGTCCCTTATCTCATGTGTCAAGCACATCGTAATCAATTGCCAGTAAAACAAATAGTTAATTTTCTAACTCAAATGGTATGAAATGCTGTTATAAGTACTTTAGCAAGTCAATAGGTAAAGGAATCCTCCCCCCCCCCCCCCCCTCCCCCTCTTCCGAGCTAGGACGGAGTATAGAATTATATCTCGAGTACTTAATTTCTTTAAAGAAAACACCCCGAGCATATATCACTCATTTCTTAGAATATCCGTGTATTATAGGAGACATTTCGAATCTCTAAGGTTCACAAAAAGTTTGGTGTCCGCGAAAATCGGACACTGAGCAGTGAACTTGCGACTTCGTGTGTTTTTCGCGATTCAGGAGGTTTTTAATCAAATTGGGGGCCTGCATTTTTACTATACATCGACTCATTAGTCTCTTCATTCGTTAATTTTTCTAGAAACTATAGGGTCAGTGGGTACGGCCTTAGACGATGGAAATCCTCCCTGTGCGTCATATATTGTTTTGCCGCCGAACCTGACCGAAATTAACGACGAACATGACCAGATACATCATAAAGTGTTCGTAAAAAAGTTGCGAATATGACTGGAAACCACTTTGTGGTTCTCAAATTGGCTCAGTACCACAGTTTTATTTATTGTGTACTATAACGGCCACATTTGCATCACGAACTTAGGCGAAACTAAACACATAAACACAGCCGCGAGCGCGCTGAAACCGAAACCAACCAAATTGAAACCACTCAATGGCGGCGAATGCGCCAGCGCCCTCTATCCGCCGCTCGGGTAACTACTGAAATGAAGAGCACGATAGAGTTGGTCGTGATGAAGAGGCCTGGAGGAGGAGCCCCGTTGGCCTCCTCGCCGCCACGCCAGCCACGCGAAGGAGGCTGCAAAGCGGCGAAATCTTCGCGGGTTCGCCAGTTTTTTCCTGGCGTCTTTGTTTGGACGAGGATCCGTTCATTACGAGGTGAGTGTTTTTTTTTTATCTTTTTTTTTTATCTCCATACTCCGCGCAAGCTAGGTGTGCAAAAGCGACCACGCCGTATGTTGAACCAAATACGTAGTGTTCGCGAGCCCGTTACAGGCCAAAGCAGGGAAGCGGTGTCGAAGAAGAAAGACTTTCGGTCTTCGGAAACGGTGTCGAAGAAGGAAGTCTTTCTTCTTCGACACCGTTTCCCTGCTTTTACCACCGTCTCGGGTTTTCTGCATTCTGATCAACATCCACCAGCTCGCCTGCGCACTCACAGTTTTTTTCCGTTACAGGCGCCCGTTTTAAACATGCTTGGAAGTGTTGCGGTGTTGCGCCAGATACCGTTGAACAACACCGGCACTGAGGAAGGCGTGCGGGTAGCGCACGCTGCAGCGTGTTAACTGCGTCTGATTGAGCGCCATGTTATCGAAAGTTGTTTAGCAAAAGAACACGTTTTAGAAAGCGGAGCTTGGTACGCGGCGGTTCTTTGTCGTACAAGCTGTCACACCTCGCACCTCAATTCGGGCTCTCTCGGAACTGTCAAGTAAATGCGGAGGTGTGGTGGTGCGGTGCGGTGCAGTGCGGTGCGGTGCGGGGGATGGACATCACTGCCGCCAAGGGTTCGGCAAGCTCGGCGGCGGAAATGGGTTGTGAGCGGCAGCCAATCTGCGTACGGGCCGCGTGCTATTTCTCCCTGAACCGAACCTGAAGACGTTAGCTTGCCGGTTGTACCGCGCTTGAAAAGTTTCGTGTGATCTATTGTTAGGTCAGTAATTCGAGTTTAACATTTCATGAATAAGATAAAGAAGAGGCTTTGTTGTGCTTTTTCGGAACACAAAAAGAAATGGCGCTAAACGGTGCTTCAGGCGTCTGCGTTTTCTTGCACTAATCCTCACTACATCCGCTTGAGACGGTGCGTCATTTATCGAATTCACTACCTTGCACAAAAACAACATATAGCAACAACGTGTCAGTTCTTTTCGTGCCAGGGCTTACTCTCTCCGTTAGGTGTGAAGGCGCTGCTAGCCTGAGCTAGCCTCAGGCAGTACCTTTGAATTGTTCAAAATTGTTAGTTTATGTAGAATTCTTGAAAACATTCAAGTAGCTTGCCCTCTAAATGTGGCAAAAGCAAATTAGACCCAAGTGCTTAGACATAGCACGGGTCATACTAAAAGGACATTAGGTCGTCTATCCTCATTTTTGTTTACTCTTTGTCTTTCAGGAGAATGCCACTGACTCGGATCTGGGTGATATGGACCCAAGCCCGATCATATGTGTTAAAGGTCAGTATGTGCTTTCAAATTCTGGCCCGAAGCATGAAGGTGGACGAGTTCTGTTCTCATACTGCATCAATTGTTATTTATAGGAGCCAACAACTACACAGCAAGCGAGTTCACAATTTGTGTTGACACAGTGCCGGTGATGACCACAAGCAACAGGGCAGGCTCATTCAAGTTGATGTTCCTGCTCTATTTTGTGTTGAACATTTCGTTCCCAGAAGAAGTGGGCCTTACACTTGAATTTATTCAAAGGTAAGTGCTTCATCACCCCTGCTTTTATTGTTAAATTTGATCTGCTTGTCATAAGAAAGATGTATCCTTTACACAAAACATAGCTTCCATTGGAAGAACCCCAGTGCCTGCTGATTTCTTACAATGCTTTGATTTTGCATGCTAAGACCTCAAGCTAAGGTTTTCATTGTTTCATTTGGATCATTCTAACTACAGAAATTACTTCTCAGGGGCCACAAAGCTGAATGGCATATTCACAACGATATAGTGCATAAAGGAAACTTTTTTTGCACAAATGAGGTCAGTTTTTAAGACAGTTTTATGAGTGATGTTAATCATTTTGTGATGAAAGTCTAACCCCATACATGTCGTGGGAGAAATGATTGCTGTTGTTGAAAACAAAAAAGATGAACTATGTCATTTTTTATCTTGGGCTAGTTGGCTCGAAAATAGCATAGTGTAAACCATAAGTAAGCAATTTTCCAGTCCCGGGAGCCCGAAAATACTGCAATGTGGTCCGGCGACCACCTTCCCTCCTCACGCACAAACACACACGCACGCGCACACATGCAAACATGCGCATGCGCACACACGCATGCGCATGCACACATACACAAACCCATCTCATCACGCTCATTACACTCATCAGTGGGTGCAGTCTAGTCTCATTTGCACACGACTTCATCAATTGGAATGAAGGGCATTTCAGCTGCACATGGTGAAAGGGAGACCGTTTATATGCCCAGAAAATGCATGGCTTCCACCTCCTGTAAATGTATTGATAGCAGCGTGCTCTCTTTTGTGTTAAGCCCTGATCCGTAATTACTGCACACCTCGTGCAAGAGTTATTGTTTTCAGATGGCAAGGAATATCGTGGACACTATATTGTTTTCATTCTCAATATTAAGCACTCCACCAGAGAAGCTATATATTTTGTGCCTCTGTGCTCTATGCTGTCATTAAATATTCCTGAGAAACGTGCCAAAGAAAACTTGCACGTCCAAGGTAATAGTAAAATATTTTAAAGTCAGTGCCAGTGTCACCATCAGCACTTCAGCTTCACAAGACCCCATGCTCTCACTGTCCACATTCTAGTTTACACTGTGATGCTAGGATGGCGAGAAACAAAGGTAACAGTATGAAGTCTCCACAGCAGCTGAGTTTATTTTGTAGAGAATGACAACTAATATACATTTCAACGACTAAAGGGGGATGGAAGAACAGACGTGCACTTTTAGATTGCACATCTGTAAAATATGAAACAAGCTAGTTGACTGAAACTAGCGAAACAGGATGGAACACTCCAAGTGGTGCTAAAGTGCCCGACAAAACTACCTCTTTGAAGGCTCTATAAGTCGATCGACTGGCAGAGGTTACCATTTTTTTCTACTGATATACGTGAAACATGAAATAGTTGTGTAGACAAACACCTGGAACAAAAACTCCCGAATAAAAGTAACACAAGTGTTCATTGAAATGTAAACATGGCTGATTAACACAGTTACCATGCTTCTCTAGCCAGCATTTTTGTTAAGGCTATTTTAGAGAAATTCCTTTTCTTAAACAAAATGTCCTATTCCTTGGCACGCATTGAACAATTTATTGTTCAGCAAGTCCGGGAGTAGGGTTTTGTTCTCATTTACGTTTACACTGTTTTAATTCTCAAGCAAGCTTTAAACAAAAAGGGATCACTCTAAGCGATTGAAACGAACTGTATTTGTCAGCAGGCATCTTGCAAAAGAGAGTATTGTTTTGTTGAGCCTGATAAAACTAATTCATTGAAACTAATTGATTAAATATTGATTTAAGGGCAAAAGTGTCAATTGGGAGCTTGTAGAGAGCTTTAAAGAGGCCTCGATGGAGGTGCTTGCATTATATTACACTTTGCCTGGTTCTTTTCTCCAGCCTTCAAAAAACGCCCACAAAATGCCAAGAATACCACATGACATCGCACTCCCCTAATCGCAGCGCACGCGTGTGCTGCGAGTGGGCGTTTTTTTTTTGGGTTGGATAAAAGAAGCACTCAAGGTGCACCACATTGCAACTCCTCCATTGGGTGTTTATTCAGGCTCTCTACAACATTCCAATCGACACCTTTAATTTCCTTTAAATATTTACAGAACAAGGTTATTAGTCGTAATTATTTAATTAGGCACAATAAAAAAAGATATTGGCCCTGGCAAGACGTGTGCTAAGAAATGCAGTTGGTTCCATTCGCCTGTAATGCTCCGCTTTTTTTTAAGCTTGGTTCCAGACAACTGTAACACCCTGTGTACCTTATTAAGCGACCAGGTGCACTTTTCCCTAAAATCATTACTTATTAATATGTGGCGGTGCGCGTAATTCCCGCCGGCGGTTCAAACATCTTGAACATGGCGGCAACCCAGATATCTGGTTCACAACACTTTGGTGTCCTTATTGGAAATGAATGTATCATTATCCATATGATGGACATCTGCCAAATCGGTCGTTGGCACTCACCAACATCGCATCCATATTTTTCCTATCTAACGCATAGTTTTTGTAGGAAAGTTTTGGCCAGCATTCCATAATCTCCCTGTGTATTTAGATAATACATGTTTCATGGGGAACAATGCTATAGTAAAAAGATATGTTTGTTTGATTTCAGGGGTATTGCAAGCATCAACCCACCGAGGGGCACCAAGATTCTTAAAAAGAAGAAGAAGCAACACTGTGTGTCACCCGCGGTTGCCAAGCTGATGGCTTCCCTGGAGGAATATGCCTTTTAAGCTGAAACAGTCTTAAAGCCTTCCTGATTCAAATAAAAGGTATGTTCCGGAAATGTCATCTTTAAGCCCAAGCAAGGCAAAGGGAAGGAATAAAAAGGTGGCATAAATAGAGCGGTACGCTGTCAATTGTACCGGATAAATTGGCTTCTGAATTTTCACCCCACGTGTACTCTAGTGGTGCACATTACCTTGTGAACTTCTAAAGCATAGATCCATTTCTGTGAGCAATAAGGACAAGAATCCTTGTAGCCTCTATGGCGGGCACCAATGCAGGCGACCGAGTCGCAGTGAGCGGCTAGAGCCCGATGCGAAATGAGTACTCGCATTTCACATAAAATGGAAGACTCATTTCAAAACGGGCGCGGGTCGAATCGAGCGGTCAACTGGCGATGCGACTTGGTTGTCTGTGTCGTTGCCCACCATAGAGATGCACGTTTGCAAGATAACTAGTGCCATTAAAATACATGTTTGGGTAAAATTTGATATAGCTGTGTGCAGAAGCTAATTTTTAGGTACCAATTCACAGCCTACCACTATTTAGGCCACCCTACACTGGGTTTAATTATAATGCAAGGGTGCAAGCGAGTTGGACAAGAATGATGAAAATAATTCCTGGATTAGAGGAACAAGGACAAACAGAAATCCCCAAACACAGTTAGGTGACTGGTGAGCGACCGAAAAGATCCGCCTGGTCCTGGTATCGAACCCGGGACCTCTCCCTTACAGGTGGAGCGCTCTACCAACTGAGCTAACCAAGGGTTAGACGTCAGTAGAGCAAACGGGTTTGTGTTTGTCCTTTGTCCTTCTTGTTTCCCTTCTCCAGGGATTATTTTCATCATTCTTGTGCAGCTCGCTTGCACCCTTGCATGTAATTGCATTATAATTATAACCTTAAATTGCAAGCTTCACCCTCGTTGGTGTTAGACTGGTGGCAGCTGATAAAACCCGTTTGCTCTATTGACGTCTAAGCCCTGGTTAGCTCAGTTGGTAGAGCGCTCCACCTGTAATGGAGAGGTCCCGGGTTCGATACCAGGACCAGGCGGATTTTTTCGGTTGCTCACCAGTCACCTAGCTGTGTTTGGAGATTTGTGTTTGTCCTTTGTCCTTGTTCCCCTTCTCAAGGAATTATTTTCATCACTACACTGGGTGTTTGGTTTTAGCTGCCCCAAGTTTTCAAAACATTAAGTTTCATTAGGTAACTTCATTTTGCAATCAGCTTACTCTACTTAGCGGGCACTACAAAGTTGTTTGTGGAAGTAGGTGGCTAATTAACATATATTTTAAATTAACTTCTAATTAGTAAACGGAGCCATATTCTTGCAATTAGAAACTTGCTGGCCATAGTCGAAAGCCACTAAACCTGTTCATTAGAAATGCTGGGAGAACGTGCATTGTTTTCACATTTATTTAATGTAAAATCTATGCACCTCACAGAAATAGGGTGGGCACCCCATTGGTCATAGTCAAGAGAACCATTTAATAAGGCATGTAGTGCTTACGATAATTAAGTTTTAAAATAGTTTTGCATACAATGATATTAACCAGTTTTAGAGACTTGCTGGGCATAATCGGAAATCACTAAATCTGTTAATTTTAGAAGGATTGGGGGCACGTACGAAGTGTGATATTTCACAAAAGGTACCACTTTTCATACAGGCGCAAGCCTGGCAAAGCGAAAATGTGGATGATGAGACGGAAAAACTTGGAGGTCACGACAGATTTGCAGGCCAGAGAAACAATACATGTGCTCCTAGTCTCTAAATTTGAATGATTTAGTGGTTTCTCACGATGCTTATCAAGTTTCTAATTGTAACTATACGCTTATTTTTTTAACGAAAAGGTTAATTAAAACATCTGTTGTTCCTAGTGGCCGCCAAGTCAAGCAAACTAATGGCACTATCAAGATTTCCCTGGTGCAAGTTCTCTTCAATATTTTTGTCCATAAAAAGAATACCAGGTATATACTCAGGAAGTGTATCGTTAAGAGCCCAAGAGGGCAGAGTTAAGAGTCGAAGTAGGTATGTTCAATAAATTCCATTTAGTTTGAGCCCCAAGCGGGCCAAAGTTAAGAAATAAAACTGCAGTTTCTAATAGTCTGTTGAAGACAAGCCATCTGTTCAGAGCCAAAGCGTGGCGAATGCAAGAAATAAAGTGGTTATTTACCAATATTACAATATCTCATGTTTTCTTTCTTTAACAAGTTTGACGACTTCTTTCATCGCGAACATCCCGGCGTTAATAAGTCCAGGAAGGTAGGGAAGGTGTAAATATGGCGTGTTCCCAAAATAATCAGTGGTTTATTTCAAGTCATCTGGAATATTTGATCTCACTGACATTTCTGTGCCACAGAAAAAAAAAAGAGTTCTCAAGTTGATCTCAGAAACATTATACTTAATTTGAATTTCGGCTAATTAAAAATAACCCTCTAAAAAGCTGCAAGCCTGCGAGCTTTTGAAGCTTGCAAAATGTTGGTTGATGAGCCCAATTTGAAAACATGTTTCTTTCACACGTCTACAGAATACAGTAACTATTGCCGTATTCTGTATGCAGGGTGCGGTAACAATGTACAAGGGCAGGTATAAAACTATAAGGCCTCAAAATGCTTTGTCGCAAAATATAGCGTATTTATTCATCAAATAAATTATTGCCATGTTTCTCACAGGCAGTTAGTAATTTATCAATAACTATTCAAACTCTTCACATTCACATTGCAAAGTAAAACTCAATTCCGCCCCTGTAGAGGTCGTTACTCCTACTTCGAGACTCGTGTGCAGTGTCGGCTTGTCTTCCGAGAAATGTAGTCCTAGTCTAGGCGAAACAAAAGGTAGTTAACAAATGCACTCGGAAGATGCCACTTTCTGGATGTTGATGATCTGGAACTGCATGCCAATCTGCCAAGTCGAAGCAAGGACTTTTACAGGACTGGAATTCAGCGCCTTACTCAGCAATAGAGAAAGACTAAATAATAATGGAGGCATTGTTAAAACAAGTGTAAATGTTTAAGAATATGTCGATAATCGGTAGCGAGTAAGTATATGCGCTACCTTACAAGAAAATTTGACATTACCCTGTCACTTTCTGTTGTAGTACATGTTTCTTTGTGTACTGGTCCCGCAAAGGCGACAGACAGCAACAGCCGGCTCTGAGAAACCTCCAGCATTCACACAGGTGTTATCTTTGGCAGGCTTGAATCACTCGAGCTTCGTTCCCGAGCTCAGTGTGCTCCGTGAACGAGGCATGACTGAATGCAAGCCTGCCAAACTTCGCTTTGCATTGATGCTGCATGCAATCGTGTTTTCTCTGTGTCGGCTGTTGCTTATGTCGCTCTAGTAGGACTCGGGCTTGACATATTTTTTCTCGATGCTGTGGGACAGTTATTTTTATTACGTAAACTCTGTTACATGTTTTAATGAAAAATAACTTTCTTGTTAAAAATCTTTTTAAGTTGTCTTTTTACAAAGGTATAGAACAGAAACTCTGTTTCCTTTTCAAAATAAACTTTTTTTCACGATATTCAAAAATAGAAAGTCGATCTTTTTACAGAGTCCCAGAACAGAAACTCTGTTTACTTTTCGAAAAAAACTGTTTTTAAACAACATTTAAAAATAGAAAGTCGATCTTTTTACAGAGTCCCAGAACAGACAACCATTCTTTTAACAGAAATCATTTTCCCGCAAAATTGGGACAACAGAGTGTCGATTTTTTTACAAAGTTCCAAAACAGACAATCCTTCTTTTAACAAAGGCCGGTGTTTTCAAAATAATCGACTACAGAAAGCCGATCTTTTTACAAAGTTCCAGAACAGACACTCTTTGTTTTAACAGAAACCGGTTTTTCGCAAAATTTGACAACAGAAAGTGTAGTTTTTTTACAGAAAAGCCAAGAACAGGAAATGCTATGATTTTAACGGAAAGTATGATAACAGGGAAACAGACGAAAACAGAAAATTCGTGGCAAGAAACTTGCCAAGCTTTTTCTGTTTTTTTACACAGTTATTTTTTACAGTGTTGTACACGGGCCAACGAGAGCAGTTTCTACACCTTTCCGGCGCTTATCACGGCTGGCGCGAGAAAGAAAACCTATTTTTATAACTCTGGACGCATCGGCTGCGCCTGATATTCCGCAGCAGGGAGTTGCGGCGCATGCTCAAGACGTTTTTCCCAGCACCGTAGACCAAGACTGGAGAAGGCGATGAGAGACTCCAACTGTAGAGGTTTCCTTCCCCGGTTTGGGTGACATCCTTGAGCGGGCTCACGGACTCTCCCGCGCGTGTCCCACGCTTTGTTCGGCGGCCGTGTACTCACTCAGGGACGGGGAGGAGAGTCCCCCGGGAGGAAGATGGGAGAAAAGAGGCGGTGCTTCGCGCTTTGTTTCTCGTTATACGTTCGCTGAACTGCCCTCCTTGCAAGCTAAAACAACTAGCAACATATTCCACTTGTGTTCCCATGCCCACGCGTGTTTCTGTTTACAATGCATGGATGTTCTGAAACTTAAGATCACTAATGTTGCTTTCCGAAGGCAACGAAACTAACACCGTCTCCCTTCCGGGCTCCACTTTTCGGTCCCATTCGAGCGCTGGGTCCGAGCCTTTTTTGGCGGAATTGGTGGTTCTATGGCAAAGTTCCAGTACCCGCTCACCACAAAAAATTGTAAAAAAACGGGCCGGTTTCAATAAATCTGTGAACAAAATGAAACAAAACAAAAAGTATATCGAATACCAGCTTGCTGACCTTGGTACGCGACTGTCAATACTCGAATGAAGAACAATTGCCCTTGATAATCTTTCACAAGAGTTCAAAATTATAGAACATGTGTTATTAACACATTTTTTTAATTATTTTTATGAATATCTATTATACCGGGTGTTTTTGCGAAGACTTTCAAAAATCCTAAAAATTAAGGCCATTGAAAAAAGAAGAAACTCTCTTCGGGAACAAACTACTAGCCACGGCGGATGTCAGGAATTGCCAAAAACCTACTAAGTAACCAGATAAGTAATTAAAACTTGTTAATTAACTTTCTAATTAGTGGAAATAGACATATGGTTCCAATTAGAAAGTTGCTGAGCGTTATCGAAAACCACTAAATCAGTCATTTTCAGAAAGACTTTGAGCGCGTGAGACGAGTAGTAGTGCACTAAAGTTACCACTCGTGGAGCAGGTACAAGGCTAGCGGTTGCGGTAAGGCGCGCGCGCGATTTTTCCGCCTCTTATCTAGCCCCAGCCTTGTACCTGCTCCACGAGTGGTAATTTTAGTACGCTACTACTCTTCTCAAGCGCTTAAAGTCTTTCTGAAAATGACTGATTTAGTGGTTTTCAATAACGCTCAGCAACTTTCTAATTGGAATCATATGTCTATTTCCACTAATTAAAAAGTTAATTGACAAGTTTTAATTAATTATCTGGCTAATTAGTAGGTTTTTGGCAGTTCCTGACGTCCGCCGTGGCTGGTAGTTTGTTCCCGAAGAGAGTTTCTTCTTTTTTCAATCGCCCTAATATTTAGGATTTTTGAAAGTCTTCGCAAAAACACCCGGTATAACGCACAGATTGATTACTTACCCATGCGCCTTCCAGCAGTGTCTGCCTATCTTATACACCAACTCATGAATACAAACAAACCGGAGCGCCCGAAGCGCCCCTAGCGGACGCCACCGGCGCCGCGCATGCGCGATGAGGGTGTGAGCAAGAAGCTCGCCGTCGCCCATAAACAAACCATTGAAATGCGATGTTGCCGGCGTCGGTGTGAGTCCCCGCGCTCTCTTTGGTGTTGAAATGGTTGATTCTACGTACTCCTAACGATGTCTGACTACTTGAGCGGCGCCAGCGAAACTACCGAGGCTCGTTACACCGCAAAACTTGGCGTGAATCATCTGACATGCGGCGATTCATTCCGCGTGTACGCTGCAGAATGTACGCTAAAGCCTGATTCGCATGATGCGATTTCGCTCGCAATTTTCAGTTGCGACGGCGCTCGGACTGCAAAAGCGTGAACCGTAGCTGAGATGTCGACGTCGATACTGAAAATCGCAAGCAGAATCTAACCAAGTGAACCAGGCATAACAAGTCGGTGATGGCCACGGGTGACAATGATTAACATCTCCTTGTATCTACTGTTTATGTCCAGCCTGCTTACCAACCTTCAAACTTAAGTCTTTTGAGGCCTGCACTTACTTCTTATCGCAAGTACCAGGCCCACGTTTGGTCTACGGGCCGGTGTCCTCTATAAGAGCAGACGACATGGCAGAAACGTTTGAAAGAACAGACGACAGTTCGAACGATCAGACGGCTGTTTGAAGTTGAAGACGCACTGAACGTAGTCCGCAGGTGGTCCGTACAACTTGACGATTTTATTTTCCGGTGCTCATTTCAGAACAAAACAAATAAATTTGATGACCAGAAGTATATGCCTGAATTCAACCCAAAATGCTTCCCGCCCAAGCAATCGTGGTCCGACGGCGTTTGGTTCTCCCTTTTCACGGCACATATCCGCGTTCTCGGACGAACCGAGCGCATGAAAACTGACCTTCAAATCTTTCTCGACACTTTTGGTACAGCCTTAGTCGCAGCATTTTGACGAGAAGGCAGGTTTTTGTCTGGTTCCTTTCAAAACAACGCAGGGATACACGTGTCACATGGGCACTTCCGCCCACAGCCCCGGACCGGAAGTGCGTCCGACGCGCCACCACCGCGGAGTGAAGTAACAGAGATGAGTTCGTGCATACGCCGCATCCGATTCACAACTGCTATGGCTCTGAGATTTTGGGTGCACCAGGCGCTGGGAGAGTCGGTCCTTCAGTATGGAGTAATTATATAATGCAGCGTGCTTACGTAGCCGAGTTGGCTAAGGGGAAGGGGCAGGCACGTAGCCAGGATTTTGTTTCGGGGGGGGGGGGGGGGGCGCCGCTCATGACAAAATGCTGTATAAGGGGGAGGGGGGAGAGGAGGTCCCAGCAAAATCGAAAATTTCGGGGGGGGGGGGGGGGGGGGGGCCGGGCCCCATGGGCCGCCCCTTGGCTACGTGCCTGGGAAGGGGCATTTATGTACTGTGGACTATGAGTTGTTTGTTATGTAAGCAACCTCAGCCAATTGAACATGTTTTTATCTTTTGCTTGGACGCCGTATTTTTCTGGAATGTGCTCCAGCGCACGCTTATAGGGAAACT